ATGAAAAGACCGACTCAGTGAAAGAGTAGAGTATAATAACAATAATTGAAAAAATATATTTAAAAACTCACATATGGAAAAACAATAAAATAAAATACTATATGTCCTGATTTTTGTTGACATGGATAGACAATTATCACGTGGAGATTTTACTGTTCATAAAGTCGGGGATCGTCTTTCTACTGTTATTAAGTAATAAAGTGATTCCCCGGAGTTATTTTCTGTTAATCTAACAATTGGGAAAATGTGAAAACTGTCTAACTATAAGGACTTAAAAAAATATACTATTATTTATATGGCATGGATAAACTAGTAAAATCCCTGGCAAAAATGATTGAATTAACACCTTGCTGTTTTTAATTAGCAGTAAATAAAACTGACACTGATAAGGAAATAAAACAAAACGGGACGGGATTTAATTATTTCATAGATGAACATTCTGGTTTCATAAATTATATCTTAAAGTATCTACATTAACTTATTTAAATTAATGGCATTTTTCCATGCAGTGGAAAATATTATAAAATAACCCAATGTTAACGGAAACATTATAGAATGAATATGTCATTTAAATTCTCCAGAAAAATAGTCAGCAGAAGCGGAAGTATGCAAATCGGTCTAGAGATAAAATAATTCTTGTCGACTTCAATAAGCAGTTGGGCATATTTAATTGAAAGAAAACATGCCTCCAACGAAAGGATTGACAATTGAAACAATGGAAAGGATCGTAAACCTAATTCAAGAAGGCAGTTCACAGTGGAACATGGCGAAAAACGTTAGATGTACCCAGTCAGTTGACGATCATGGCCATCGCTGACAAGTAGACTTATAACAGATTGTCCCTACGAACGTGAAATCGACAGGGACTTTTGAAGTTGGTGAGAGGTTTACATAGTTTGCCGCATAGACTGCAAACTAAATCCGTGTTTTCGGCCTGATGGTTAGGCCTTTCAGGTGGAGCTTCATTCTGAGTTTTCAAATGTCTCGTGAGTCCGGAGAGGCTCCCGTAGACTTTGCCTCAAACATCACAGGTACGAGGGTTTGCAATAATGAATAGAAAATAATCTGTTGGTTATCTATGTGACTCCTGAGGTAGCTTTGCCTGCGTTTGACAAACGTCTTCGTTCACACCAAACAGCAAACAAAATGAGGAAAAGTTGTGTCTACTTTTCCTCCCTTGCGGACAAATCTTTTGGTTTTTGCCCAGCTTATCGAAATGCGATAGTGATTCTTTGATACAGTCCTTGAAACTCCTTTTTGGTTTTTGATGAGGCTTTTTTCCTTCAGACATCTCATCGTAAAGCATTTACTTCGGAATACGACGAACGTCAACCCGTATGTCCTGCCCAGCGAAGGCGGCCCCATTGTCTATGAGCTTCTGTGCTGAGTGTATCAGCTCGTTCCAGTATTTCTGTGTTCTGAAAATGAGATGCTGTTAATGTCCAAGATCGATCTCAGGCACCGCAAAACGCTCTAATAGGTTTGAATGTTTCCTGTAACAACCCAGGTCTCGCAATAGTAAAGAAGGCTCGTAAAAAAAGCAAGCTTTATAGGCATCTTTGTTTGCTTTTTCAGGCTTTTCTGAAACCACACGCAGTCGTGAAGAGCAGAAATGGCGTCAATAACACTCAACTTCCGTCCCGTCGACGTAGATGGACGCCGTTCCACACAGACTGTACTTGATGCTGGTTGAAACATGAAAAATCTTTTATCAAAATTGATTTTCAGACCAAAGTCTTTGCATGACTTGGATAACCTGTCCATAAAAACACTGCATATTAGCGGTAGTGTACGAAACGAGGTCGCAGTCACCGGCGTAGAGGATATTATATGCTTGGAAGATAGCAAAATCAAACAAGTACTACAATTGAAATATCTGTAAAGTTTTTTTTTAACAGAGGACAAAAAGTGCCGTGCATTTGGAGAAAGAAAGATGCCTTCCAAAAGCTAAGGAAAATAACAGGGAAATCTCGTAATAAATTAAGTAAAGTGTACTGAACTGTTACAGATATAGGAGAGATAACAAAAAGACAACATTTAAGCGCTACAAAGGACAAAAAAATTGCTGAGAGCCATGATCGGCAACGTGACACGGAACATATAATAATAATAATAAGTCTTGTACAGTACCATTAACTATAAAGAGAACTAGTTTACATAGTGTGAAACGAGATCCCCAAACAAAGCCAGTCTCCTGTTTTGAATTCAGAGTTTCCCTTATCCGAGAGGGGTTAACATCTAGCCACTATCAACCCGAGCACATCTATCTATCTATCTATCTATCTATCTATCTATCTATCTATCTATCTATCTATCTATCACAGTGTCATTTTACCTATCTATCTATCTATCTATCTATCTATCTATCTATCTATCTATCTATCTCAATTTATTGCAGCATCTGTGTGTGTGTATGTGTGTATGTGTGTGTGTGTGTGTGTGTACGAATGGTTAAAGCGTTGGTTTCGACTATTACCCGGATTCGAATTTCACCATGGTCGATACGTCAGGGAGGTGACTTTATGATATTACCCTGGGGTCTGGTGGAGGTGACCCCAGAGTGCAGCACATTTGGACACTGCCTGAAAACCATACGACGGATTCTTCTAAGCATTGTGAAGCTGTCGATGGATGTACTAGCACGGAGTCACAAGTCATTGCGACCAATGTTTTGAGCATACTGAACTTTTTCAAACTACTTATACGCTATATTCTAGAAACTGTAACTAAGGTACTCTCGACATATTTGCTGTTTATATCATAGGTTGGCTCTGTGGGTGTTAAAGAAACTTCAAGGTACCTGAGACCTGTTGACATCAGAGATTCGTTAACTGCCCTAGCAGACAGACATATACATAGGTATAAGATGCTAGCTAAACTCGAGAACTTTCTCATATCAGTATTAAACATTTATGCGGATTATTATGAATTTGAAAAAATGATGGGAGAATATTCAGTTGATCTATCTATCTATCTATCTATCTATCTATCTATCTCAGTTTCATTATATCTATCTATCTATCTATCTATCTATCTATCTATCTATCCTCTAACCTAGTTTAAGAGAAAAATATTGGGTTGTAATTTTCAATACAAAAAACAACAAAATAACAACGTTTGATCATTACCGATAAAATCCTGAATTTTCTCTAGTTATAATGAAAGGTTGATCTCTCAATATAGTTCAATGCTTTGAACGTCTAGTGGGTTTCAACTTTCCTTCATAAGCTCAAGTATGGCTCATATATACAATCCACTGAAAACGATAAACCACATACTTCCGATGAATATGGTTTCTCACTTTTTGTGATATTTTAAAATAAAATTCATTGTAAATATTGAGCCACAAATTTCACAAGCACATGTAGGTGAGAAACCATATAAATTGTGAAATTTGCTCAGAGAGTTCAAATTCGAAATCGAATCCATTGTTAAAGATGCTTAGTAAAAAAATGATCGGTTCATTCTATCGTTCCAGGAAGCAACTGGCTCCTTGTGCCATACTTTTAAAGAGTCTGATTAAACAAAAAAAAAAAAAAAAGAAAAAAGAAAAAAGAAAAGAAATGGAGTATTGCTGTCATATCTAGGCTGGAGCTGCTTAATCTTTTCTTTGCGTCCTTGATAGAGTTTAAGCAGTTTTTTAAGGGAAGAAGATATTCTTGACTCTGTCGCATCTCTGCCAATGTTGCAACATCACAAACTCGTCGCTACTCGATCGCTATTTCCATGGCAAATGTTTGGACTAATTCAAACTTTTACTTCATTTTATGTAAAATGAAAGTTATACTCAAGCGGCTTTTCGTCAATATCTGATATTTTCTGGGATAAACTAACGGGTCGCTGCTTCTTTGAGCATCCTTCAAGTCAAAGGTTAATCGTTATCTATTCTTCCTATCCTAGTATTTTTAATTCCTATCATATCTTCTCCCACTCTCATTGCACCTAATTCACCATATCCATGTTCACAGTAACCGTCTAGCTTGAGTTTCTCTCGAGATTTGTATTGGGCGAGCTTTACTATAAAAAAGAATCTTGGTGGTACTCTCATGACAAAGAGGAAGCCAAGTTCAAGTTTCGGTGGAGACAGTTTGTACTTACTTTACACTAATACTCTTGGGAAAGCCAATAATCTGTCTCCCACCTATTCTTCAGGTATGAAATGAATAACAATGCAGACTTTACTCTCTAGACTTTTTTTTTTTTGGCAACCGGTATAAGGGAATCTCGTAACGCATTAGAGTCGTAAGGGTACCACATGTACTGCAGCTGTTGCACCAGTGGAACTTACTGGGCAAGCTAGGCTGACGGAACCAAACAATCTCCAGACTGTTTTGAATTAAGAGATTTCCTACCTTCAAGTACTGTAGTGCTATTTTACTTATAGGTAGGCGAGAAAGGATCGATTCATACCTTTCCCAGTGTAAGGAACTTGACTAGAATTCGAACTCAGCTCTCCGATTCCTTAATCTGAGCCGGTATCCATTACTCCACCGTGTCTCTCATATAGATATTAAAAGAAAGGAAATTGTGGAGAGATATGATCGTCTATATCCTAAAGAGGAATAGCACTTAAGAAAGGGGAGGTCAGACTAAGCCACTTTTGCTACATATGTTTTCTCTTCAATGGTGGTATTTACCATATACTTACGAATGGGAGAATTCGATTCTCACTGACTAGGTTTTTACACATATGTTCTGTTCGACTAAGCTAAGCTTAGAAAATTCTTAGCTAAAATTAGTGTCTGGCTAACATGTATGTATTCTCAGGTTGGTCCGTTCCATTCGCCTTAGCACCTGACTCTCTACCAATCTGTCCGTTTTCAAGCTCACTGTCTGTTAGGTATTTGTCGAATATTTGCCAACCAGAAGGAGATTTGATCCAGGGAAATTGCCAGTATAGTTCTTTCGCATAACTCTGGGCGGCTCGGGTTTTTTTCTTTTTAATACCGTATTTTCTTCTTTTTCGATTGAGGTTTATATCTACAATTTGGTAAAAGTCGATGAATTTTGACTTGTTTCTTTCTTTTTCCCTACCCACTTTTTATTGTTTTTCTTATTATTTTATATTCGTAGCCAACACAGATGTTCCCCTTAAGCGTCCGGCATTCCTCGTCATCCTCCATCTCCAACGTCGTCTTCTCTTTCGTTTTCTTTTCTTCTTTTCCCCACCGCTCCCTTCTTCTTCTTCTTCTTCTTCTTCTTCTTCTTCTTCTTCTTCTTTTTTTTCTTCTTCCACTCGACCTTCATCCTCTTTCTTCTCGCTTTTTCTTCTCTTACTCTTTTTACTTTTTGATCATCATCCTCTTTCTTTTTCTTTTTCTTCTTTTCAGCATAGTTTTTCTCGCCTTTCTCTTCTCACACTTCTTCCTTTTGATTTTCATAATCTTCTTCTTTCACTTCTTCTTCTTCTTCTTCTTCTTCTTCTTCTTCTTCTTCTTCTTGCCTTTATTTTTTCTCATTTTTCCCAAAAATTTCCTCTCACCCTTCTTCCTTTCGATCTTCATCTTCTTTCTCCATCATCATCATCATCATCATCTTTTTCAACTTCTTATTTTTCTTCTTCTTTTCATTCTTGTTTTTCATCTTTCTTTTTCTTCTTTTTCTTTTCCTTCTGAACATTCTTTTCATTCGCCTTTCTTCTCACTCTTAATCCTTTAGATTTCCATCCCCTTTTTCTACTACTTCTTCCTCTTCTTTTTCTCCTTCTTCTCGCCTTTCATCTTTTCGCCCTTCTCCTCCCTATTCTTCCTCTCAGTATTCATCCTTTTTTACCCAATTCTTCTTCTTCTTCTTCTTGCTTTTCTACTTATCCTCGACGTTTCCTTTACATTTAAGGATTTACAGCTCTTCCAGTTGCGCCGGTAATGATGAGTATCATATCAATATGCCCGAAATTTCTCACTTCTCTCGCACGGTTCAAATATATATTTTCACGTTTAATATTTTCCCCGTATCCTGTGAGTAGTAAATTCTTTAGGCTGACTTTTCACGTTATATGCCCCCCACCAGAGTGTTCAACGATCATTTTCTGATTGTAAGTATAAAGCAGCCTTAATGGACAACGGCTCGCAATGAGAAATCAGAGACTAAAGTTCGTATTCGTCGCACCCATTTAAGCGCAGATAAATTTGCGAAAGCCATGAATCCATTTCTTCTCCACTCTGTTATGGTTTAAATAGCAGACCAGATTGTCTTCTATAGCCTTGGTTGGCAAGCAGGCTACTGTTGAAAAAAAAACAAAAACAAAAACAAAAAAAAAACAAACACAAAAACGGCTGCCAACTGCGGGTAAATAAAGAGTCATGAATCGAAAGAGACATTTTATCTATACACAATATAATTTTGCTTGATTCCTAGGAAGTTATCACGTAAATAAGCTCTGCAATCAAATCAGATATATAATGAATCTCTATTATTGCGAGTATAGAAGGTAAGAATTGTATATATTAAGTTGTAGTGCATATTGGAGGTCAATTGCTTGTAGTCTCAGGAGAAGATGCGGTGTAAACCTAGAAATAGATATGTCCTATCACTCGTTAGACAGTTCCTCCCCGTCCAGTAGGTCAATTGCTAAGACACTCAGCTTGTAGTCTCCGGAGAAGATGCAGAGTAGACCTAGTAATAGACATGTCCTATCGCTCCGTAGACATAACCTTCCCCGTCCAGTAGGTCAATTGCTAGCACAATCAGCTAGTGAAATCCGGAGAAGATGCGGAGCAAACCTAGAAATAGATATCCCCTATAACTCCGTAGACATTTCCTCTCCGTCCAGTAGGTCAATAGCTAGCAAACTGAGCTTGTAGTCTCCGGAGAAGATGCAGAGTAGACCTAGGAATAGTTATGTCCTATCACTCCGTAGACAATTCCTCCCCGTCCAATAGGACAATTTCTGGCACACTCAGCTTGTAGATTCCGTGAAAGATGTGCAGTAGACCTAGGAAGAGATATGTCCTATCGCTCGCTAGCCATTTCCTCCCCGTCCAGTAGGTCAATTGCTAGCAACGTGAGTTTGTAGTCTCCGGAGAAATACGGAGTAGATCTAGGAAGTGATATGTCCTATCGTTAAGTAGAAATTTCCTCCTCGTTCAGTAGGTCAATTGTTAGCACACTGAGCTTGTGGACTCCGAGAAGATGCGGAGTAGACCTAGGAATAGATATGTGCCATCGTTCCGTAGACATTTCGTCCCAGTCCAGAAGGTGAATTGCTAGCACACTGAGCTTGTAATCTACGGATCACATGCCGATCTGACTTAGGAAGAGATAAGTTCTATCGGCCTGTTCACATTCCTTTCTCGTCCATTAGGTCATTTGCCAGCAGATAGTGCTTGTAATCTACGGAGAAGTTGCGGAGAGGACATGGCAGTAGATAGCACATTCCTCCCCCTTGCATTAGGTCAATTGCTCGCACACTTTGCTTCTAGTCTACGTAGAAGTTTCAGATCAGACCTAGGAGTTTGTAGGTCCTAACATCCGGTTCACATTTCTTCCCCGTCCATCTGGTCAATTGATAACAGATTCAGCTTGTAGTCTATGGAGATTATGCGGAGTACACCTAAGGTAGTGTATGTATGTACTATCGCTCGATTCACATTCATTCCCCGTCCTGTAGGTCAATTTCTAGCAGACTGAGCTTGTAGTTTAAGGAGAAGATGCGCAACAGAATTAGGAGTAGATCTTATCGTTCGATTAACAACCATTTCCTGTTCATTAGTATTGGTTATCTCTTGTTTCCTTTTTGGGATTTGGTTTCCGGTCCCTTGCAATGTGTTGTCATTGTCTTTTACTCCCAGTAATGCCTTGCGTTCTAGTGGCATTATCGCCTTGCTTGGTGTGAGACGGTAAAGAAATGGTTAGCTTTACCTCAGTTTTTTTGTTTCTTCTCTTTTCTCTTTATCCACCATCTTTGTCCATACACTCACTTCTCCACTGAGGAATGTTCTTTTTTTTCTCATCTTCCAATATCTCTTCCCCTTCGCAGTCTTTTTCAATTCTTTTCTTTGTTCTGTACTTAGGTGGGCGTTGTGAAATGGTGAGAGAGCCATTGATTGGCTAAAATATACAGGTGCATCACGATAGAGCATCACTCAGGTATGTTGTACTTGGCTTACCTGCAGCCTAATCACCGGAAGTGACGAAATCGGTGAAAGAGGATGTAAATTTATTGTTTCCTGTCCTTAAATATTTTTGTTTCATTTTTTTTCTGGGAAGTTTTGCTATAATTTTTTGTTTTTGCTTTCATTATATTTTTATAAATCTTGTTAGTTCTCCATTCTTTTAAATGTATTTTCTTTTTTGTCTTCCGCCTTTAAGTATTTTTCTTTGTCTTTTTCTTTTTATGCGTTTTCGCCTTTTTTTCTTACATTTTTTTTCAGTTTAGTATTTTTTTCAGTTTAGTATTTTTTTCACATTTTGTCTCTTTTATAAAATATTTCTTTGTCTTTTTCTTTTACTTTCTTTTTTCTTTCTTTACTTTCATTTTTTATTCTTTTCTTTTACATTTTTCTTTTTTTTCTTTCTTCCTTACCTTTATTCCACAAAAAATAACACATTTAAAATTTTTATATATATATATATATATATATATATATATATATATATATATATATATATAAATTGTTGGAGGTACAAAACCGTAATATTGCAAGGAATAAATACGAATTATTTCTTAATGGCATTATGAAAAATGAAAAAAAATAAGATATGATGACACTTTCAAAACAGACCAACCGGTTTCGTTCCCAAGCTCATCAGGGTCGACTGGGAACAATTTCAAAGTTATTGCAATATAAATTGACTCACTCACAAATCCTACATACAATTAAAACTTTAAAAATGAAAAGATTAATGGTATGAGGGAAAAAAATATATATATATGTATATATAGTTTTTTTTTTAATTTTAGACCGTGCGAATATGCACAGTGTAAAGGGGAGAAAAAAAAAATATATAACAGGGAGTGTGAGGGGGAATTATGATAGACACTAGAGTCTAATAACGTGAGTGAGTCAATTTATATTGCAATAACTTTGAAATTGTTCCCAGTCGACCCTGATGAGCTTGGGAACGAAACCGGTTGGTCTGTTTTGAAAGTGTCATCATCTCTTATTTTTTATTTTTTTTCATTTTTCATAATGCCATTAAGAAATAATTCGTATTTATTCCTTGCAATATATATATATATATATATATATATATATATATATGTGTGTGTGTGTGTATAAAATACTTATACACACGATAGGGCGGTTTTCTTACACCTAAACAAAACAAATTTCCATATAAACATACGTCCGCAAATAATTCTTTTTTGAGTTATTAAGTTTAAAGAAATTTGACGGTAGATTGTGATGTGTTGCGAAATAGACAAGGTTACATTTGTTATTCGTGTACATTTGTAGCTCATCTGTCTTCAACGTTTAACGTCTGCAGTTGTTATTTAACTGAGAAGTTTTAGGTTTAACAATGGCAGGATATTCATATTGTGAGCAGGTAGATATAATTTTTATATACAGCTACACGAATGGTAATGGACGTGAGGCTGCTCGATTGTATCAGATTGCTTCTCCAGAGTGAAGGCAACTGAGTTTTTTGTCACATTGCTGAGACAAGATCTGTGGCATCACAGATTATGGATCGAAATAGACTGGGATCCGCTCGTACGCCTGACCACGAAGAACACATTCTATAAGTTATCGGAGACGATCTAGTTATCAGCACATGTCAAGTGATCCTAGCATGTCGTAGTACCGCATGGAGGGTACTTCATGATTCCTGTCTTCGTATGCAACGTGTGTAGGGTCCTTCGCCCTCTGATCATTACCACGGGAGAACTTTTGCCGATAGTTTATTACACAAAATGTCGATCCGTTGTTTGTCTCTTCAATCTTGTTTACGTATGAGAAAGCATTTGCTAGAAATGGAATAGCAAATTTAAACAGCCAATATTTGAGGGTAGATTATAATTCCCATCGTACACCCGCAACAGTTTATGTTAATGCGTGGGCTGGAATTGTAGGCGACTGTTTGGTAGGTCCATATGCCCTCCCAGCACGTCTTACAGGAGCTGTCTACAGGGACTTTATTTCGATCACACTTTCAGACCCGCTAGAAGATGTATCCCTGCTAGTATGAAGTTATATTGCTCACGATGCCCTGGCTGACATCTACCATGATTGATAGGTAGGGGAGGACCGTTTCCAAGGCCTGCAATTTCCCTTGAACTCAATTCTTTGAATTTTTATTGGTGGGACCACCTAAAACAATTAGTTCATGCAACAAACATTATTAATCCAGAGTCGCTTCATCACCGTGTTATAGAGGCCTGAAAAAAATTCGACACCATGTGGGAGTATTTGAAAGGGTTTAATAGTGAGTTAACTGACAAGTGTTCCTTTTAACAATGGTAGGATATTCATATCGTCAACAGACAGATATGATTTTTACATACGGCCGCATGAATGGTAATGGACGCACGGCTGCACGACTGTATCAGATTGCGTTTCCAGAACGAAGCCAGCCGACTCATCCGACCTTTGATGCTGTGTATCGTTGCGTTGCATAGACAGGATCCGTGACACCACAAACTATGGATTGAGGAAAACCGAGATCCTCCCATACGCCTGACCACAAAGAACACATTCTACAGGCTTCTGGGGGAGATCAAGGTATCAGCATTTGTCAAGTGAACCTAGCATGTCGTATATCTGATAGTATGGCATCGAGAGCACTTCAAGAGCATCTCCTGTATCCGCATCATTTGCAACGTGAGCAACATCTTTCGCCCGATGATCACTCATAACGGGAGAACTTTTTCCGATAGTTTATTGCACACACTGTGGTTCCGTTGTTTGTCTTTTTTTTACAGATGAGACAACATTTGAGAGAATTTGCACAACCAACATTTGTGAGCTGATGGGAATCCCCATGGTACAATACAGGCTAGACACCAGCATCAGTTTACGATTAATGCGTGTGCTGGAATTGTAGGTGACTGTCTGGTAGGTCCATATGTTCTTACAGCAAGTTGTCTACGGAGTCTCTATTTCGGACACACTTCCAGACCTGCTAGAGGATGTATCCCTGCTATTACGAAGACACATGTGGTTCATGCATTATAGAGCTACAGCACATTTTGGTCACATTGCTCACGATGCATTGGCTGACATTTACCATGAAAGATGGATAGGTAGGGGAGGGCTGATTCCATGGTTTGCATGTTCCTTCAACCCCAATCCTTTGGATTTTTTTTTATCTGTGGGGCCACCTAAAAGAATTGGTTTATGCAGCAGACATTAATAATGCAGAGATGCTCCATCAACGTGTCATGGAGGTCTGCAAAACCATTGGACATTGTCAATAGCAACAGTGAAGATTTTTATAACCGTACGTTATTTTAAATAGAATAAAGATAAGAAACAAAAACGGAAATTATTTACGATCCAAAATTATGTATATATATATTTAAAGAACTAACGGATTTATTATCTGACTTTTTTATTACTTCAAAGGTTATTTTAGTGGATCAGTGTGTTTGAAAAAGACGCTAACATTTTCAAATGGTGTATTGTCTTCATTAAGTTTTCTCGAGAGCAGTGAAAAACGTGGCGTCTATTTCGAGCACGGCTTACCACTAAAAATATATATGAATAAAGAGAAAAGCAAAAATTAAGCTAAACGTCTCATCCTGTGATGGAATTTATCAAGGCAAATGTAATGATTTCATTTTGCAACAAGTATTTATAAAGAAAAGTAAAAATGTTGTTAGTGTCTCATAATTATTAAATTTAGGATACGCTAACAAATATTCATGAGGTTAACAGAAACGACGTCTCGGTAAATTATGGAACATGCTAAGTGATATAATTTAATGCCTAATAAACGGAAGTGAGTAAATGATGTGAAAATAAGATTTAAATTATATAATTTAAATCTTATTCTCACATCATTTACTCACTTCCGGTATAAAGTATTGTGTCATATAATTTAAATAATGAATGAGGTTATGAAGCTAAACATTTCTGAGAAACTAACATTTATACTTTTGATTATAAATACTTAAAAATAAAATCCATGCATCTGCCTTGATTAAGTCCATTAAGTTTTTCCTTTTGCTTTTATTTATATTGTCTTTTTACAGATATATATATATATATATATATATATATATATATATATATATATATATATATATATTACAGATAGCTTCATATATATATATATATATATATATATATATATATATATATATAATCTGGACGACGCAGAGGATTATCTGGTGAAATGAACAACTAAGATTGGCGCAATGATTATATCGGCCGTAACGTTCCGATAGAAACAACAAAAATGAGGAGGTTTGGTCCCCAAAATTGTTTATATTTCATGAATAGTCAAAAGTTGATAAGCCGGTTTAACTGAGTCAGTCACCCAAAAGATTTGAAAGGATCGCATTCGTTTTTATCTGAAGTTAATGGTCGGATTAAACGAAGCGTTTGTCTCAGTCAGTTGAGCTGTTTTTTTTTGTTTTTTTTCTCTCGCTCTCTTTCTTTTTTTTTTGGCGGCAAAGGGAAACCAGGTCACCTAGGCGTAAACGACAAAAGACTATTTTCTTTGCTTTAGGAGTTTTATCACTTTTTTACCCAGTTATGTGTCACCATTTAGCAGCCATGAATTTTTCCCAAAACATTTCTATTTTTATCTTGAAACATTCTGATAATACGGAAGAGCTATTGGTTTCATTGACCGAAAGTGTAAAAGATCTCGATTTAGATAATAAGAGAACGTCTTTACACTTACTCTTTCTCTCACTCTCACTCTCTCTCTCTCTCCCTCTCACTCTCTCACACACACACATATACATATGATAAAATATAGTTATAATGGAGTTTAAAATAATAAACGCTAAGAATAAGATTTTCCAGCCTAGGAAAAAATACTAACTTTGAATAATATCTCTCTAGAGACGCAGGTATATGATAGTTGGGATGTTATTTTATACTACCATATACCTGCGTTC